TAGGGAAGATGGAACACTTCCTAACACATTCTATGAGGCCAACATCACGCTGATACCAAAACCTGACAAGGACACCACGAAAAAAGAGAACTACAGGCCAATATCACTGATGAACATAGATGCAAAAATTCTAAACAAAATTTTGGCAACCAGAGTTCAGCAATTCATCAAAAGAATCATACATCAGGATCAGGTGGGATTCATACCAGGGACACAGCAGGGATGGTTCAACATCCGCAAATCAATCAACGTGATACACCACATCAACAAACTAAGGAATAAAAACCACATGATCATCTCAATAGATGCAGAGAAGGCATTTGACAAGATCCAACAGCCATTTATGATAAAAACTCTGAACAAAATGGGCATAGAAGAAACTACCTCAACATAATAAAGACCATATATGACAAACCCATAGCCAACATCATACTCAATGGGCAAAAACTGAACCCCATCCCCCTGAAAACAGGAACGAGACAAGGATGCCCTCTATCACCACTCTTATTGAACATAGTACTGGAGGTCCTGGCCAGAGCAATCAGGCAAGAAAAAGGAATAAAAGGAATCCAAATAGGGAGGGAAGAAGTGAAACTCTCGCTGTTCGCAGACGACATGATCTTATATATAGAAAACCCCAAAGAATCCATTGGAAAACTGTTAGAAGTAATCAACAACTACAGCAAAGTTGCAGGGTATAAAATCAATTTGCATAAATCAGTAGCATTTCTATACTCCAGTAATGAACCAACAGAAAAAGAACTCAAGAATACAATACCATTCACAATCGCAACAAAAAGAATAAAATACCTTGGGGTAAATTTAACTAAGGAAGTGAAGGACCTATATAATGAAAATTACAAGGCCTTTCTGAGAGAATTGGATGACGACATAAGGAGATGGAAAGACATTCCATGTACATGGATTGGAAGAATAAACATAGTTAAAATGTCCATTCTACCTAAAGCAATCTACAGATTCAACGCCATCCCAATCAGAATCCCAATGACATTCTTTACAGAATTAGAACAAAGAATCCTAAAATTCATATGGGGCAACAAAAGACCCCGAATTTCTAAAGCAATCCTGAGAAAAAAGAACAAAACGGGAGGCATCACAATCCCTGACTTCAAAACATACTACAAAGCTACAGTAATCAAAACAGCATGGTACTGGTACAAAAACAGGTGCACAGATCAATGGAACAGAATTGAAAGCCCAGAAATAAAACCACACGTCTATGGACAGCTTATCTTTGACAAAGGAGCTGAGGGCATACCATGGAGAAAAGAAAGTCTTTTCAACAAACGGTGCTGGGAAAACTGGAAAGCCACATGTAAAAGAATGAAAATTGACCATTCTTTTTCACCATTCACCAAAATTAACTCAAAATGGATCAAAGACCTAAAGGTGAGACCTGAAACCATAAGGCTTCTGGAAGAAAACGTAGGCAGTACACTCTTTGACATCAGTATTAAAAGGATCTTTTCGGACACCATGCCTTCTCAGAGAAGGGAAACAATAGAAAGAATAAACAAATGGGACCTCATCAGATTAAAGAGCTTCTTCAAGGCAAATGAAAACAGGATTGAAACAAAAAAACAACCCACTAACTGGGAAAAAATATTTGCAAGTCATATATCTAACAAAGGCTTAATATCCTTAATATATAAAGAACTCTCGCAACTCAACCACAAAACATCAAACAACCCAATCAAAAAATGGGCTGGAGACATGAACAGACATTTCTCCAAAGAAGATATACTGATGGCCAATAGGCACATGAAAAGATGCTCATCATCGCTGATCATCAGGGAAATGCAAATCAAAACTACACTAAGATGTCACCTTACCCCCGTTAGAATGACAAAAATATCTAAAACTAATAGCAACGAATGTTGGAGAGGTTGCAGAGAAAAAGGAACCCTCATACACTGCTGGTGGGAATGCAAACTGGTGCAGCCACTATGGAAAACAGTATGGAGATTCCTCAAAAAACTAAAAATAGAACTGCCATACGATCCAGCCATCCCACTACTGGGTATTTATCCAAAGAGCCTGAAGTCAGCAATCCCAAAAGTCCTGTGCACCCCAATGTTTATTGCAGCACTGTTTACAATAGCCAAGACGTGGAAGCAACCTAAGTGCCCATCAACAGACGAATGGATAAAGAAGATGTGGTACATATATACAATGGGATACTGCTCAGCTGCAAAACAGAACAAAATCATTCCATTTGCAATAACATGGATGGACCTTGAGAGAATTATGTTAAGTGAAATAAGCCAGCAAGAGAAAGATAATCTGTGTATGACTCCACTCATATGAAGAATTTAAAACTATGGACCAAGAACAGTTTAGTGGCTACCAGGGGAAAGGTGGGGTGGGGGGTGGGCACAAAGGGTGAAGTGGTGCACCTACAACATGACTGACAAACATTAATGTACAATTGAAATTTCACAAGATTGTAACCTATCAATAACTCAATGAAAAAAAAAATTAAATGAAGTTAAAAATTTAGTTCCTCGATCACACTGGCCACATTTTAATCACTCAGTAGCCACAGGTAGCTAATGACTACTATATTGACAGCACAAATATAGAATATTTCCATAATTATAGAAAGTTCTATAGAATGATATTGCCTAGGAATCAAGATTTTCAAAAAGAGATAACACGAGAGCTGAGGCTTAAAAGTTGAGTACTGGTTAGCCAGGAAAGGTTTGGATAAAGATGTTATAAAATTTGCCATGTAGAAATAGAGTAACCAATCATCCCAATTTGTCTGGGACTGAGGAGTTTCTTGGGATCTGAGATTTTCAGAGCTAAAACTGGAACAGTCTAGGGAAAACTGGGACAATTGGTCACCCAAAGTAGAAAGGACTTTATGACCAAAGACAGTGAATCAATAGAAAAACATCATAAATAAAGGAACTTAAAGTTGTTTGGTGTTGCAGGAACATAAAAATTCATGGGAGTGGTCGGAGATGAAGCTGCAGAAGTAAGCAGGGACCAGATATAGGACTTAAGTGATGTTGGAACATCGTCTTTTAGGAATTTTAAGCTGGGGAGTATCATAATATTGGTCAGTTGTTTTTTTGAGGAAGATTAGCCCTGAGCTAACTACTGCCAATGCTCCTCTTTTTGCTGAGGAAGACTGGCCCTAAGCTAACATCGTGCCCATCTTCCTCTGCTTTATATGTGGGACACCTACCACAGCATGGCTTTTGCCAAGCAGTGCCATGTCCACACCCAGGATCCGAACCAGCTAACCCTGGGCAACCAAGAAGCAGAACGTGCAAACTCAACCGCTGCACCACCGGGCCGGCCCCCAGTTTTGCTTTTTAGGTAGCTCTGACAGGCAGCTATGTGGAAAATGGATTTGAGAGAACAAGTTTGGAGGCAGTGAGACCTGTTAGGAGATTTGAGATAACATAGATAAGAGGTGTCAGATCCTAACTAAGGAAATGGTAGTAAGGAGGAGGAGAGGTGTTGGATTTCGTAAGTATTCATGAGGTATAATTAATAGGACTTGCTGTTTGATTGGATGAAAGAATAGGGAATCAAGTGTATGCTGACGTGTCTAGCATAGATGATTTTCTATACCTTTCTTTTCATTTCTTAGTGGGAGTCCTTTCCCCTCTAGTTGTTTTATGCCTGTTTACCTTCTAGTCATCTCTTACCCCAATCCTCTACCCTCCAATTTAAGAAAGTCTTGTTATATTGTAAGAGGACTGCACAGGTAGAAAAGAATCTCTAGCCCCTGAGATAGACCATAGCTCCATTCCTTTTTGTTCATTTTCTTCCACGTGTCTTCAGCATCCCCATTCTCTCCTGCCTGTGTCCTTTCCTCCCAGGGAGAACAAACTAAATAGGAAGAGTTCAAGGTGGGGGATCATATATTCATCCTGCCATGTACTGTTTGGAAACTGCAGTCCAGTCTGCACGCCAGGCTTCCTGAAGGCCTACTCTTGTTCCTTTTCTTTACCTGCCTGATTTTGCCAGCCCGCATGCCAGTTTAATATATTCTGAAGGTATATTTTTTATTTTAGAGGATATTGTATTTTTATTTCATAATCTTCCTGTGAGGGTGGGGATTTTTGTATGTTTTGTTCTTTCACTTACCCCTAGTTCTCAGAAGAGTGCCTGGCACATAGTAGATAACCAGTAAGTATTTGTTGAATAAATTAATCTTGGTGATACAATACATGATCAAAGAAAACAGTAGATAGTATATATAGAGATCATTGGGTTGGGAGTTGGGAAACTTGGGTTCTAGTCCTGGCTTTGCCATAAAATATTTGTGTGGTCTCTGACAAGCCACTTCCCCTTTGCTGGGCCTCAGCTGCTTCATAGGTGCACCAATGAAGTCCCTTATGTTGGTGGAATACAGTAAATAGGGCTTTAATAGACAGTTGAGGCTTCTTTAGCAATTTGAGTTCGGTTTGTATAACAGTTTTCTTGAAATATTTGCCAAATTTCCCAGCTTTCAAAGTGACAACTATAAAATTATGCTTGTTTTTAGATTGATTAGTCTGTAATATGAAAGAACCTGAATTTTAAATTCATCTTAATTGACTTTTAATTTTTAGACTGTGTGCTCTCTTAAAGAAACTGAAAGAGAGAAAAAAACATGAGAGATGGGTAATTAATATTTGAAACCTAAGTGTAATCATTACGTTTACACCTATGAATCAACTGATTGACAATTCCCATCGATGTAATATAAGAGTATATCTTAATGTATAGAGTTAAGACAATACCAGAGGTAATTTTTTTTAAGTTAAAGTTTAAAGATTTTTATTTATTTAAATTGAAATATTTTGGTGCTCTGCTGCATGTGAATTTTCTGTTAGTACGTGTGTACAATATGTCAGGTAATCAGCTTGTCTTAAGTGATATCGAGACAGGGTGCTTTTATAGTCAACAATCAGTGACAGTTTAACATCTGCTTTGTACTAGGCACTGTGTATATTAACCATTTTGTTAATTCTTTTCAGAGAGGCAAGAAGAGAAACTGAAGAATAACAACAGAGATCTATCAATGGTGAGAGTCCTAAATATAACTTTGTGGTAAACCACATAATGTTTTTAGCAAAAGATCCTGATTTGCGTAAAGTAGATTACACTTACCTTTTCAGAAATTTTTAGTTTATGCAGGCTATAAATAATATCATGAATGTTCCTGGACCAGATGGAAGTGAAAATATGCTACTAGGCTTAAACTTCCTTTTAGTAATATGAATAGCTTTTTTAGGCTGTCTCGGAGGTTGTAATTTGTCCTTCTCACATAGCTCTTGATTAGCTTCTCCTTTATGTTGATTTTCTTTTCTTCCTTATGTTAAGCCTGAATCTTTGGTTTTATAGTGACCTGGGTAATCCCAATATAGAAGTTGGAGCGTTATGTATGGCCTTTATTGTTGCATTTTTTTCTTTAAGAGGCCTTTTGTTCTGAGTGTCAGGCACACCATAAAGTGTAAGGAAAAGTGATTTCATTACCCATTTACTCATTATTTATAAAGAGTAGAGTTTGTGCAAGAATGTCTTTCTAAGGCATAGATAGGCTACTTATAAGGCTTGACTAATTTTCTACTTAATTTCTGTATATTTCACATGAGACACCTGAACTGTGCAACGGTTGTCTTTTGCTTACCGAGAGACCTTTGCTATATTTCTTTATCTCCTATTTCTTGAAAGTCTTATTAATTAAGAAAGATTAGGGGGCTGGCCCGGTGACACAGTGGTTAAGTGCGCATGTTCTGCTTCTCAGCAGCCCAGGGTTCGCTGGTTTGGATCCCCGGTGCGGACATGGCACTGCTTGGCAAAAGCCACGCTGTGGTAGGCGTCCCACATATAAAGTAGAGGAAGATGGACATGGATGTTAGCTCAGGGCCAGTCTTCCTCAGCAAAAAGAGGAAGATTGGCAGTAGTTAGCTCAGGGCTGATCTTCCTCAAAAAAAAAGGGGGCCAGCCCGTTGGGGCAGCGGTTAAGTTCACATGTGCCACTTCTCGGTGGCCCGGGGTTTGCTGGTTTGGATCCTGGGTAAGGGCATGGCACCTCTTGGCACGCCATGCTGTGGTAGGTGTTCCACATAGAAAGTCGAGGAAGATGGGCATGGATGTTGGCTCAGGGCCAGTCTTCCTCAGCAAAAAGAGGAGGATTGGCAGTAGTTAGCTCAGGGCTAATCTTCCTCAAAAAAACAAAAAAAAGGAAGATTATAATTTAGAAGTGCCTTTTTTAAAAAATAGCTTTTCTTTTCTGTTCATACAATTATTACATATTCACTGTAGCAAATTTGGAAACTACAGAAAGAAGATAAAAATTGCCCTAAATCTGTTATCCAGATATGACATCTGTTAATCTTATATCTTTATAATCTTTTGTTTATTTACACTTTTATGGCCTATGTAATTAAGAAAGAAGTTAACTGCAAGTAACAGAATACCTAATTAACAAGGGGTTAAACAGATAAAGTTTTTTTCCCTTGCTAAAGAAGTCCAGAGGTTAGTAGTCCAGGGCTGGTGTGTGAGCTCAGTAATGTCATCAAGGTTTTAGGTTAGTCATCCTTAGTTCAAGGTTTTTGGTTGTTTGATGACACTACCTTCAGGCAAGAAGAATGGGCAGTATAGCCAAGTTTGTCCCTCTTAGAAGTCCATTCAGTACTTAGACTTATAAGTCATTGGCCAGAATTGGGTTACATGGCCACCCCAATACTATTCATCAGAAGGTGGCAAGAGAAGTGGGCTTGGAGGTCGAGGGTGGCTTAGCCAAGAAACAGCTTTTTGCTAAGGAGCACCTGTTAAAAATGACATGAAACCAAAACTTTTGGGGTGTATGTTAGTGGTGGTTTTTCTTTAGTGTGAAATGACAATTTGTTGGTCTCCTTACAGGTTCGGATGAAATCCATGTTTGCAATTGGCTTTTGTTTTACTGCCTTAATGGGGATGTTCAATTCCATGTGAGTATCCTTTTATATGGTTTTGCCTAAGTATTGCTCTATGTGAGTGTGTATATGAGCAATTAACTTTTTTGATAATATTTTATTTTGATATTTCACATTTGCAGAAAAGTTACAAGAATAGTATGTCCATTATCCAGATTCACAATTAACAGTTTGCCCCATTTGCTTTCTCTTTTTCTGAGTCTCTCCATATCATATAAGTACTCATACATACATAATTTATATATTTTTCTCAATCATTTGAAAGTCTACTGTAGGCTTTATCTCCCTTTACCTGTAAATACTAAAATGTGTTATTTCCTTAGAACATGGACATTCTTTTACATAACCTCAATCCAATTATCAAAATCAAGAAATTCAATTTTGAAAAAATACAATTATATAACTTTTTCACCCTCTTAATATTGAGGATATTTTTATGTACAAGGCAAAGGCTAAGGTATTATGGGGCCTCTGAAAAGAATTTAATATGTCCCCTGTGTTTTTAAGTTGCTTACTAGCATTCTGCTTCAAAACGAAGGTAGTCATATAGAGATGTTTTGACTCTTAAAATAGAGTCTTAGCAACTATAATCTTGTTTAATGATAAGGTAAGTTACTGTTGTCTAAACTAGCCTGTAACAGGCCTGAGTAATTGTGGAACTGCTTTTGACAGAAGCTGGGAAAATGTCCAGAGATGACAAACATTCATTTATTCTTTGTCAAAGCTAACCTGAGCCATCCTAGGCGAATTAGGATTTCCCTCATTTCTTCTTTTCCTTCTCTTTCTCCTACTCTTCTTCCCCTGCTTCATTTCTGTCTGTCTGCCTCTCCCTCTCTCTGAACCTCCCCTCTACCTCCAGTCAACTCTTCCCTCCCCACCTGTTCATTGCTTACTTTGTGCCAGGCATTGTGCTAGGTATTGGAATGTAACAAATAAGATGTGGCCTCTGCCCTTAGTAATATCAAAATTTTATAAAGAAAGTGACATGAAGAAAATACAGATAAATAAATGCATCGATGGGTGTTATAATAGAAATCTGTGTAGATGAGGTACAGTGGGGGAAAGAAGTGAGTGATTATTTTTACTTAGGTGAGGGACTGGAGGACATGTCCAAAATGGTTTTAACATAAAATTTCCACCTAACTAATGATTACTACAGGGACTTTTGGAGGATTAAATAACTTGCTCAAGTTTTCTAGACGTCTCATGATTTCTGTCTTATAATTTTAAACTCAATACTCTTTTTCCTTCTACCATGACTTCTCTCATTTTTGGGGTACATATCACTATGAATTACCAGGCAAACCAAACACTGAAAGGTTTTATAATTAACTCGTAAGCTTCCTTGCTACAACTCAAATACTGAAGTATTCTTAAATTGTTACATTCTGGACAGTATAGAGCTGGCTGAGTACTCCTCTTTACTTTTTTAGTTTGGTACTTAACTTCTACTTACTTTTCTCATACTTCTTATTTTTTAAATTATATTTTATAGGTTAGTCCTCTGTGTGTGTGTGTATGTGTGTGTGTATGTGAGTGTGTGTGTGGCTGTTCTGATTGGCTTTGGCTTTATTGTGTGATTACTGTGACAGATTTGAGTCCTGCTTTGCCTAAAGTTCAGCATTTTATTTTATTACTTAGTCTTATGTACAAATGAGTTCTAATGAAATAGCCTAAGAAATAACTGGCTGTTTTTGGCAGTAGTAATTCTGCTTTATATTCATGTGATTCTCTTTCTTAATATTGTTTATGAACATATTAGGGTAAATAATCTTCTGATCTCCTCCAGCATACACACAACCACCCCCCCACACACACACACACACAGTAGGTCTGAAAGGCTGCTCTAGTGGAAGAGTATCTGCTTCAAATATAATTTTTCTCCCAATGTCATCTTTCTCCCCCAAGGTGGAACCTCCTTTATTATATTTTCTTCTCTAATTATTAAAGTAATACATTCTCACTGGAAAATTCCAAAAATACTTAAATGTATAAAATGTAAAGTAAAAATCACTCTACTTTCCTCAAATATAGTGCATATTCTTCAAGATTTGTACTTTTTCTATATGTATATGAACATTTAGATTTTTGTAAATATAAATCTTTATACACAATGACAGTTGTTTTGTAACCTGCTATATTTCCCTGCGATAATTTTTAAAATACAGTACATATAGCTCTAACATGTTCTTTTTTAATGTCTGTAAGTATTCCATTGAATGAATGTACCCTAATTTTTTAACCAATCTTCTATTAATCTTCGTATAGAATATTCACAGATAGTATGTACACCAGCGTATACTTGTTTTTTCCTCAGAGTATATCCAGAAGGATGGCTCGGGTAAAATTTTGATACAGATTGTTCTCTAGAACGGTGTCATTAGTTTATGTTTTTATATTATTGCCATCAGTACTTACGAGTGGTCTTCTGCATGTATTTGTCCTCACTAGTAATTATGTATCTTTAATATTTGCCAGTCTAATAGTTGGAGACTATTGCTTTTTAAAATTTGCATTTCTTTGATTACTTGCGTGGTTTAGCATCTTTTCATACACTTATTATGTTTTTCCATTTCTAAATTTCTAATTAATGTCTTCCTTCTCCCTCCATTTTTATTTTCTTATTTTCAAGAATTCTTTATCTGTTGAGGCTATTAAACTCTCTTTTCGGAAATATATGGAAAATATAAATTTTTATGTCAAATCTGTTAACTCTTTTCTGTTATATAAACAATGCCTTCCTCATACCAGATTATAGATTTTTTTTCTATTTTCTGCTTTTTATATTTAGATCATTTCATCTATAATTATTTTGGTGTTTAGTTTCCAATTTTATCAAGTTCTTAGCCATTGTCAATACCAGATAGTGAATAAACCGTATTTTCCCTGATGATTTGAAATGACCTGTTTATCATATGTCGGTAGCTTCCCAAAGTTGATGCAGTAAATCTCAACCGAGTGTGTATCAGAATCAAATATGGAGCTTTTAAGAATAGTTTTGTTATACTAGTAATACACAAAGGCTTCTAAAAAATTCAAACAATATAGAATACTAGAGGATAAAAAGTGAAAGTAAACCCAAATGGGTTGAAGACTTATGTTCACACAAAAACCTGCACACAGATGTTTGTAGCAGCTTTATTCATAATTGCCAAAATTTGGAAGCAACTGAGATGTAAATGGATAAATAAACTGCGGTACATCCAGACAATAAAATGTTATTCAGTGCTAAAAGAAGTGGGCTATTGGGGCCGGCCAGGTGGCGCAGCAGTTAAGTTTGCACATTCCACTTCGGTGGCCCAGGTTCACCAGTTTGGATCCCAGGTGTGGATCTACGCACAGCTTGATAAGCTGTGCTGTGGCAGGCGTTCCACATATAAAGTAGAGGAAGATGGGCACGGATGTTAGCTCAGGGCCAGTCTTCCTCAGCCAAAAAAAGAGGAGGATTGGCAGCAGATGTTAGGTAAGGGCTAATCTTCCTAAAAAAAAAAAAAAAAAAAAAGAATTGGGCTATTGGCCATGAAAAGACATTGAAGAACCTTAAATGCATATTACTGAGTGAAAGAAGCCAATCTGGAAAGGCTACATACTGTATCATTCAAACTAGGTAACATTCTGGAAAAGGCAAAACTGGAGAGAGAGTAAAAAGATCAGCGGTTGTCAGGGTTAGGGAGAGGAGTGAGGGAGAAGGGAATAAGCAGAGCACAAAGAATTTTTAGAGGTGTAAAACTATTCTGTATGATACTTCATGGTGATACATGTCATACATTTATTAAAACCCACAGAATGTACACCACCAAGTGTGAACCCTAATGTAAACCAGGGACTTCGGGTAATACTGATTTGTCAATGTAGGTTCGTCAGTTGTGATTGAAGTACCTCTCTGGTGGGGGATATTGATTGTTTAAGAGACTGTTTAGGAGTGTGGGGTGTATGAGAAGTCTGTACTTTCAGTTCAATTTTGCTGTAAACCTAAAACTACTCTAAAAAGTAAAATCTATTAAAAAAGAAAGAATGGACCTTAAGATGACAAGGGTTAAAATTCAGGCTTCTTTCCCATTTACTAAATGTATAACCTTCTACAAATTATTTAAAGCATAACCTAACTTCTCAGCTGTTAAATGGGAATCTTATTACCCAACAATTTTGATCAAAGATGCATATAAAAAGAAAAAAAAGTGATAGTGACCTTTTGCCTTTCTCCAAACTCTAATATTCCTCTTTTTATAAAAAAAGAAACAAATGTTAATAGATAGTGTGTCCTTCTTCTAAGTTTTATTTTTTTTACCTAAACAGTTTCATACTCTATGTCTTGTTCTGCATCTTGCTTTTTACTTAACTTTGGGTTTAGAAATCTTTATCAGTACTTCCAGATCTCTTCCGTTGTTTTTAGCTGGTGTATAGTGTCCCATGGTATGGATTACCATATTTTATTTAACTGTTTTCCTATTGATGAATATATAGATTCTTTTAATTTTTTTTTTTTTTTTTTTTTTTTTTTTTACCATTCTGTAGCTTTAAAAAAGAACTCAGGGGCACAAGGAGAGTTGTTGCTCAATGGGTATAGAGTTTCATTTTTGCAAGATCAAAGTTCTAGAGATCTGTTGCACAACAAGGTGTGCGTATAGTTAACACTACTGTACTGTACACTTAAAAACGGTTAAAATTGAAAAGTTTCTGTTAGTTTTCTTTTTACCACAATTAAGAACGTAATATTAAGGCCCAGACCCCATGCTTAAAGATTCTGACTCTGTAAGACTAGGTTGTGGCCGAGGCTTCTGCTTTTTAATAAAACCCTCACAGTTCATTCTGATGCCCAAATCTATTTGAAAACCAGTGACCAATAGGAGTAAGTCTCAACTTTACCTGTTTTTGTCCTATCTATATTTTCTGGCTTATTTCTTGCTGAAAAGTCCTTTTTGACTCCAAGCCCAAGTTATTTCACACTTTTGTATCTGTGACACAAAATGTGTGTTTCTCCCCACACCTTGCAAATACTTGATTATCTTCCAAAA